TCATTAGTTCATTTAATTATATAGCAGAGGCTTTATTCTAGTAATGTTTGAATCCATACACCGCTACGAACGAGGTGAGTACTGTAGTAGTAGTTTAACTGAAAAATTCGGAATGCAATTCCCGGGAGATGATATCCGTTTATTAAAAAAAATTATTTTTTCTCCCAGACCAATGCACTGGCACCCAAAAGAAAAAAGTGGAAAAGCTTGGTGTGCGGAATGTCAAGAAACGCCTTCATTGGTTCCATATTATGGAATCAAGAGAGAGAGAGAGAGAGAGAGAGAGAGAGAGAGAGAGAGAGAGAGTATTGTTTATGCTTCTTATTTCCGAATGATTTTCTCTAAAAAAGATACTTTCTGCAATGTTTGGATTAAATGATGCTAAAGGTAAAACATGTTTTACAAGTCCATCTTGTTTTTATATCAGCACGCACCTGTTTTTACGCTCTACAGGGCTGACCTGATGGCTTTTTAATTTTAGGCCTAAGGTCTTGCAAAATAATAAACGAGGTCAAAATGATGGAGATAAAATGTTTATGAGAACAAACCTTTTGCTGGTCGGATATTTCTTCATGGTGCTTTTATTAAGCTTTGAATCAATGGGACATTATCTTGACTTGCGTCAATCTGCGGCAGGTGTGTTCTAGAAATAATTGAACAAAATTCTCGGTCTGCCTCGTGAACTGTTCGAGAAAGGACGCACAAACGTCCTCAGGGAAATGCTCAGCGTGAAACGCACGCGGTCAACAGACACCAGAGTGTCATCTGCCAAAATCGTTTTATAGAGATTGGCTTTTTTTGTAAAGTGCAATAAGTATACAGCTCCCTGGCGTCTCTAAGGAGGGAGCACAAAGATAACAATTTTTCCGAGCAATCTTTAGGGAGGAGAGGGGGCGTAGCCCGCTGTACCCCCCCCCCCCGCCTCTCCCCTGGATCCGCTATTGCCAATCAAACCAACCTTGGGAGTTAAAGAAGTGCCTCTGCACTCTTACTTAATTCATGTAGCTCAGAACCTTTTAAATCTTTATACCATTCAACAGAGCAACTGACAAGTGCGTAGTTACATATGCTTTGCATCGCTCATTTTAATCACAAAGAAATTACAATAGTCCCTCAATTTATCGATCTATATTTCAACAAGGCTATCATAAAAACTCCATTTGATTTGTTATTGACCAATTATATTCTAAACTAGAGGTAAACATCCTCATATAGGTCTATGCAGGATGAAAATATGATGGTGGTATTACTTCGGGTTCATTTATATGAAAATCCTAACAGAGATCTATCGTCACATACATTATCATTACACAATTTTTGCGTCGAAATAGGAGCAATCAGCTTTATCCTAATACGTGACAATATTCAAGATGATGCATCAGAGTTTCCACTCGGATTTTAACATTTGGCAATGCTGTGCCACCCACTGCAAATATTAGTAGTAACTTCCAGTGATTATACCTCTTTTTCAGAAAATGTGTGCCATGAAATACCCCTGGGTCTACATGGTTGAAAAGCAGCACCTTATGTGCAATGTAAAGCGCAAAGCTTTTTCCAGTGAATCACATCAAACCTGTCAAATCTAACCAAATGGTCCAGTGAATAAACAAGAATGCGGTATGATTACAATGAGAGTGACATACTAACTATTCACGTCATCTGACATGTTAAGCCCCAGAGAATAGCTTAGGCCTAAGTCACAGATAACTGTTGGAATATAATAAGTTAATCTCTGCCAGAAACAGGCCTCATGAACGATTATTGCCTTTTTTGATCTTGAGTCGCGGGTTTGCGATTGCCGAACTAACGCCTGTGCCCATTATATTATGGTGAGATCGTTAAAAAATTTGTTACGAACACCAAAATATAAACTGCGAACGATTTGGCCAGCTTTAATCCGAGTTCTCACTCTCGCTCTTTACATACGGATTTATTTTATGGACCGCAAACTATTAAAACAAGAATAATTAATGCGCTTTCGATAATCTCAGGCACATACGGACTGTCTTGAACGGGAAGATGAGGGTACTTGTGGTTCCCAGTTTATATTGCGGTGTTTGCAACAAGAATTTGTACGATGGCACCATGAAATCGCGGTTTATGTTGTTAATTCGACGATCACAATCACAAATTTGCGGCTCGAAATAACAAACGATAATTTAATTTGTAAGGCCCGAGAGAAAAGAAAAAGGGTAGCCATTTATCTTTAGATTCAACGGATATCCAGCCACGTTCTTAACATATGCATCCATTGTTTCTTAGTTATCCTGCTACAGTGAAACAGACTGAAGGACAGGCAGTCAGACAAATGAATGCCACTGTCTGATTACATTATCTCCACAACATCGAAGGACATGAATTTTTACCGTGACATCCCTGGGGCTGTTCGACGTTTCCTGTAACTAAATACATGATTGTCCATACATTGCTTTTCTACATTCCGACTATCTATTTAACAATGATCTTAAAATAATGACTTGAACTGACAGGTGTCTACGCAATGGTATTAAATAAAAAACCTGAAGTGAATATATTGCTAGTCTTTTTCTTTTGTAATAGCGTGTACATTCCCCATGAATCGAAGGAAAATTTTAGATCATTTTATCATGAAACCTTATATTTCCTCAGAAGACGTTGGAAATGTTTCGGGACAAATTACTCGCGTGCAAAGGATGCGCCTAAAGAATAGTTCAGCCTAATACAGTAATTTTAAACATGATAATGAGAAATTTTCTTAGACATTTGGAAACTAGGATTAATCATAAAAAAGCACATCTGTTAAACACGCAAAGACATAAAATCTTTACGTTGAAGCAAATAATCTTTTCCGGAATAATAATCTAAATGCGTTCTGACGTCTGTGCTTATCATCAACCCATGTGCATTTGTTTCTTTTTTTATTTTTATGTTTATTTACACCTGCAGGCCCGGTAGAAATAACGCACTTTATGTTTATATGAGTTTTTTTATCGAAACTGCCCATTATTAAGGCGCTTCACACCATGATAAATATCAGCAGCAGTATTATTTTGTGTATACTGCGTTTTGCTAGATTAACACCGTCGATTAAGGCACTGCTGTGTGGCATGGGGAAGAAGGCCACAGAGACCATAAAGAAGAAGAGAGAGAATGCAAAACTGTGTGTGTGTGTGTGAGAGAGAGAGAGAGAGAGAGAGAGAGAGAGAGAGAGAGAGAGATTGTCACAATAAGTTATACTGAGAAAATAACGACCGGACAATTGAGCGTCATTTGCTAGTATAACCTTTTTTAAAAAAACGAAAGCGTTCTCACTGGAACAAATTCTTTGAGTACATGTCAATATAACAATTTACATAGGACCATATTTGAGTTGTCAATTCTATTGTTGTCAAAACGTTACAACTGATTTATACTATAGCCTGACGTTAAATAACATATTTTGCTGAATAAAGTCCAAACAGCTATGCTGCGATCAATACAAAAATGCAATGAAGGGGATTGTTGTCATTTTGATGACGGTACCCTTGAAGACTGCTTGCACACACACAGTAAAGTTGATAATTAAATTTCCAATAAGGATGGGACAACATTCCATAGAATTAAAGTCACAGAAGAACATTTTGAACAATTTGTGTCTGGATTCATAAATATTCTCGATCGAATTTATCCTATTAGGTACAATACAATCTAAAGTCACTATTGGGCTAGCATAGAAAGTGTATAGCGGTCGGATGGTGGTTAAAGGTAAAATCACCATATTACAGACTTGGGAACATGTTCCTAGTAGGCGATATAGAAAAAAAGAAAGTGACAGTTGAATACCATGTGTGGAAAAGGCCAAATGATCAGCTCCCCCAAACATTACAAGAGAAATTCTAAAACGCATTGTTACAGCATTACGTTTTTGGAACATAATTTGTTAATTATATCACGAAAGCTACTGTTCAAACGTATATATATCAGAAGCAATACCATGGAGTAGTACAGAGAAAACTTCGTTGAAATGAATGCATTATTTGTAAAATATTAGGATCTTAACTTTCTTGTTTTTTCTGTTTTCCTCCAATTTTTAATCACGGAGGGTGGATAAAAAGATGGCTGTATCCTTAGTTTTTTTTACTATATCGTCTCTCTTAATGAGTTCTCTTGTGCAATTCACATGCTCATAGCAAATAATATAGCAAATGAAACAATAGATGGAGTTTCATTTAGAACAAGAGAGCACCAGCAAATATACAAGCTCTTAGCTATCCCATTACCATGGACATTTGTGGTAGGAAAATGGTATTGTTATGCGTCTTTTTCTTCTTGAGGACGACAATGAAAGGCTTTTTAAATAATAAGAACGTTTATGGAAAATTGTTAAAAGACCGAATAGATGAAATATTGTACATGTTTTTTGTTTTTTTTTATTGTTTTTTTAACATGAAGATTTATGGTTAATTGAAGTGTAAATGTGTCATATTTTATGCCTTATATCTAAAGATCACATGAAATATGAATTTTATTAATGACACTCTTAGGCGGCTTAAGGAAATGATATCTTATGCATTGTCTATTTATTGATGATCAATATTGATTACCAAAAGCCTCTGAAGTTGATAAACTTGAAATTTCCTAGAAATATCCCTTTTATGTTGTCAGGCGGAAATCAAAAGGTACTTTGAAAAAATATATATATTTGAGAATGTGGAGGTGCTTCAGTTTATGCAGGTCAACCATTTGCAAGTTGGCTGTACAAATGTTAACTCTCTCTCTCTCTCTCTCTCTCTCTCTCTCTCTATATATATATATATATATATATATATATATGAGTTTTCCTCATGTGGACGCGTATAGTCTTTGAAGGGTGAATAGGGAAACAATAATATCAGATTTCTACAGTTATAATTGTCGATTGTCTCATCAGGAGCGATCCTTCATTCGTGATGATATTCGTCCTTATGGCCCTGCAAGTTATGACAGATGTATTCAATTTTTGAATATGAGAGAAAAAAAATTTACAAATATAAGCCTCTTACCTTAGCAAACCACATCCTGTTGTCGTGGTACTATGACGATTCCCGTGCTTTCATGACTATGGTGGTTGTCATATGTCCAATGAAAAAGCACCTTAATGGAGAAACATATCCATATGAAGTGTGAAATGGTTTTATATATTATACGTATATGTTTAACTTGTCGTAAGCGTAGTTACACTGTAACGGTGCCCAGTTTTCAGTGTGGTTCAGTTATTGAAAGCGTAACGTGAAATGGTCGACTGTATCCGGTTCAGCATGATTTAACAAGCAAGAACAATTTTGATGTGCATGACAGCGTAAATGATCTATCTTGCAGCCTTGATCAATTGAGTGTTCACATATAAATACAGGACGATAGCCGTTTGCAACATGGATCTTAATTATTTACCTCTTACTGATACATAACTAATGCCGTTACGTGTGTGAAATTGTCACAGCGTAGCGTTAATAGTTAATTAAACACAGAAAGGTGATGCTAATTACCACGTTTAATTACATTACATGCAACCAAAGCGACCGAAAGAGGCAAAACACATCTGTCAAGTAAATGTAAAGTAAAACGTTTCATGAAAAATGCAGATCACCTTTGATTGCTTTTTCTATTGATGAAATTTTAATAAGAAAAAAGCATCATATACTGGAGGTTAAATACCGTGCTATTGAAATGTTAATGTGAGTGGTCAAATAACAATTTGATATGTGCACGATTGTTTACAAAGATAATGACATTTCCAGTTGGATGATCAAAATAACCAAGCCCTATTCTTAGTTATCTCAATAAAGAGTATGTTTCACTGCAAACCAATGAAATCTTTGAAGTTTCCACTAAGCAGCACAGGGAGGAGAGTAAATATCAGAGATGCAGAAACTTTGTTCACAGTGCACTCAAATAATATATTTAACTATCAGGCATATCCGGAGCCATTTTTGTCTCGTCCATCAGCGTGTGCCTCGTTATTTTTTGTATAGATGATTTTACAATTGTGGATCCGACATGAAGGCCCCAGGAAATTAAATAGAAGTAAATTGCACATTGTGTTAGTACAGTTGAACGAGTCTGTCGTTCATCATGCCTACATGTCAGTAATTGGTCTCATCTAACACACTCCATAAAGCATTCACCCCAATCGTATTTTTGTTAGGATATACATGTACCCCTTATTTGGCAGAAGACTATGGCAAAATCCATACCTACATAGCATACTGCAAAAAGGGCACTGCTTCGATCAACGCCCATGATTTTGGGCTTGAACCGCGGTGCGTCTTGCTGTCTACTGTGTAGTCTTTGTCTCCAATGAGAACAGTTGTCTTACCTCGGTTTGCCCTGCATGCATGACTGGCGGGGAGAGCTACTCTGCCTCCATGCAAACAAGCATCATGCGCCCATTCCCGGTCACAGACATAACAGACACGAAAACAACGGCCTTCAGTCCCCAGCGGTAGAACATAGGGCATGTCCCTGCAACGTCAACTTGTAGCGAACTTTTGACAAGACAAAGTGGCCTCATATCAACTTTTCAGACCGACTCATGATCAGGTTAAGGATCCACACACACACACACACGCACACGCACACGCACACACACACATGAATCCAGGGTTAAAGTGACAATTCATAGCAATAAAACTAGCATGTTATCCTCGTGTAAACTTTTTTCCTTGGAAAACAGTGCCAACTAACTTAATATTTGCATTCATTTCAGAGAGAAATCACCCAGCTGTTTTAAGTGACAGACTCCGGCATTGTTATTGTTACGATGTGGTCTAATGTCAAAACTGCGACAAAAGAATGCTTTAAGACGCAATACAGATATAAACAAAAAAGCAAATGGAAATGAAATAAAACCATGTGTATTAAACTGTCATAATGGCCTGTGTTTATATATCAGATACTACTATACTACATGTATAAACCAGCCGATACGTGGGTCTTGTTGGGGTCTTCGCATGCTATATTACTAAAATAAATTGAACTGAATGGCCAGTTTTCTGACTTTGACTTGGTATAGAACCCACGTGAGAAATAACCAATAAATGTGTCAAATCTTATTATAAAAAAGAAGTTTTACATACACTTTATTGGTAAAAGTAGGATATCAGATCAAGCCAAAAGTACCTTAACGTACCCGTTCAATAACATAAAGAGGCGTCGGCTTCTTACATCTACGGCGCGATTTATTTATATAAGATAGTTAATTCTAGTAATTTCTAGGGGCTGTAATCCGACTCGGGAAAGGCTAGGTATCGGCTAGAGTTATTGCCGGGGAAAAAAAGTTCCGCAACACCGCAGTTTTATTTCCAGAGCCAAAAATATCAATTTATTACCTGGGCATTGCCTGGTTTTATGGGAGAAGCTGGAGTGACAAAAATCGCCAAAACTTAAATTTTGATGAGGGGCGATAGAATAGAATGTAATTTCGAATGATAATTAAACGAGCCGCGTGCACATGCATGCAACTCCATTAAAATCAATTCGCAAGTCTGGTGATTATTTTACCATCCTTACAAGCCTTCCCTCTTAACGAAAAGAAAAATTAGAGAATATAATTTTATTCAATATTTATATACAGCAACATTCAATATCAAAAGTACCTTAGTAATAATTAATGAATTACGTAAACGAAATTAATCAATAAATGTTACTATGATTGAAAGTTTGAAGATTTCCATTCCCGTCTTTATCATCTAACATCAGAACGCATACAGTCCGATAATGCTGCTCTTGTGGCTGGAAGCTGGTACCCGATGCCCGCGGGGAAAAACCCGTCTAAACCCTTCGTGGGGAATGCCGGGAAAGTGCCCACGCCCGGATACTTCAGTCTTTATAACATGATAACTTTTATTGACACGACGCCTAACAGTTCAATAATATCGTCCCGTTTTAGACAGCGTGGTGCAGCTGAATAAACTTTCTCTCGTAACTACAAACTTTTCTCTATATACTCTATACTGGTACACAAGATGAAGCACAAGTATTTGCCAAAGTAATTTCTACAGAAAGAGATGCTAAAGCCAATTGAGACATTTACTAGAGACTTAACACAATTAAACCGAGGCTAATTTTAACTTTATCTAGGGGATGAAGTCATAAAGTGATTCTACCCTTTTACAACTTAAAACATCATCAAACCTTGAACATAGTTCTTTCTAATGATGAACATCAAAAAGTTCAGGTAATATGATTATTACTCAGACACCTCAACGATTAAAACTAAACCGACATCTAACTCAGTTTAAAATAAGTTTCTCAAATGTAACTTTGCCCTGCAATCGCAACTACCTGTATGATACAAATTTTAATCTTATAAGAGTAAAGCAAGCTTGCTTTGAAATATTTCAGATCTCACATTAGACTACACTTTATGGCCGTCTATGTAGATTTCAATGCGAATTTTTTGATCCGGAGAAAAAAGTGCATATGTGATGAATTGGACATATTTGTCAATTATAACACTTGAGAAAATCATAATATTAGTAATATTAATAATTTGTGATGTTCCATCTTGAGAGATAACTGTGTGCACCCAGCCATCTCTCACGAGGAGCAGACTGTACAAAAAATATAATGAAATATTTTCTCAAACGTAATATATTTCATTATATTATAGATTTTGCACAAGCTGTCAATGTAAAACCTCTTCATGTAAAAGCATTTACATGAAGTCAGATTTTACAAAGATGCAATGGTTAGTTGAGATTAGTGTGCGGATTATGATCTTCTCAAACGCTATACTGACGAACAACTCCACATCAACAGCACAAATTTGAAAAATGACTACATCACTAAGAATGAAATAAACACAACCGACCATAAGTGGTGGTAACACCAATGTTTTGTGAGCAAAAAACCATCTGCATTTAGAATGTGGATAAAGCAACTGGATATTCAATTTTATTATTTTTTAAACAATTATTATAATAACTGTAGAGGCAGACAAGCTTTTCATACAGAACCACAATTCATCTTATTCAATTGATCACTTATGGAATTATGAACGATCAGTTTTTTTCTTAAGCTATTGAAATAAAACGTTTCGCTGTCATAAGTGAAAAAAAAATAAAACTTACTAAATGCAATTACAATTACACCCAACTCATATCTGTGACCCATGAACCGCAAAAATTCTCAACATCCAAAAGACTCGAGTACATTATTAGATTGCATTCCTCTTAAATTCAGTATATAGCTCTTCATTACCGTTCCACATTCTCTAAAAAATTTTTGCAGGCAAGCCGTGTCCTTAAAAACCAAGACTGCTAGGACGTCCGATCATCAATGAAAGTGCTACAGAGGCTCGTTGCTAGCGCTATATAGTGTTTCACATCTTGGACATTTAGGCTAGGTTTGATGTTATCTGCGTTCGGGCATTATTTTTGGAAAATTGTCCTTCCGTAACCTACAAATGAAATGTAACACGTTCACAAAATATCAAAAGCAATTGATATCTTGCAGTTAATGCAACAAAGAACATGCATGATACAGGTATTTACATACCGTTAACACTAATAAGTATTTTGATATTCCATAATGCTTTGGTTCTTTACGTGATTATTTTATTTTATTTTATTTTATTTTATTTCTATAATACAACACAAGAAAACCACATTATGATTAAGAAGAGTGCTTAGATTCTACAAAAAGAAAGTGACTAGAAAATAAGAGGGATGAAGGAAGGCATATGAATCACGAAAACGCCTAACGATCTAAACAATATAAACAGATGAAAATACAAGTTCACCTGTACGAATGCCTTTTAGTATCACAACCGTTACACTGAGGGTGAGGTTGGAGGGGGGGGGGGGTTGTAGCTCCTGGACTCAGTCGATGCTCCCCAAATCCGGCCACCTCGTAAACAGACCATGGCAGGACTCACTGGACGCTTTCCCAATGCAGCCACCTCGTAGACGGACCATGGTAGGACTCGCTGGATACATCCCCAGTGCAGCCACCTCGTAGACAGACCATATGGCAGGACTCACTGAACGCTTCCCCAATGCATCCACTTCGTAGACGAACCATGGCAGGACTCGCTGGATACATCTCCAGTGCAGCCACCTCGTAGACAGACCATGGCAGGACTCACTGGCACCAAGGATTGATCGAAGTAGCTGAAGTGCAGATGTGGCCCTCTTCTCCTTGCAGTTGTCAGTGGTAGCTCCATCGAGAATCACCATAATCGAATCCTGTTAACAGAAAGAAAAACGGATTAATGCCTTTTCTAACCTATGTCAGCACTCTGCAGTCAGGCTTACCTTTAAGAGGTTTCACTGTCATATGC